AGTTGAAGTAAATCACATTTCTGAATATCAACCCAATTTACCTCAAGTTTGGGTGATAAAACAGCCCTGGATAACTGAATGGGGAAAAAAAAAAAAAGGAAAAACAAGTTATCTGCCTCAAGGAAACCTTTTCACTCCCTTATCTGTAGCACCATTTCTAAAAGGCTTAGTATTGAAGGATACTAGAAGGAGTGATATCAACATTGCCTCAAACTCAAAATATGCTCAAGTCTTTTCCCCAGACCTCATATGGGGCATTTTAAATTATTTATTTCCCATCAGTTTTCATTGTTTGGTTCCCAGACTGAGAGAGGCTGGCTGTTCTGACTGGCAGGGGTTGAACAGAAAGCTTTTCAGCTGTGACAGGGAGGGGTTGAAATAGGCTTTGAATTAAGCTTGCAGAGCAAAGCCAGAGGACATCAGACTTCCCTGTCCAGACTTGGCTTAACAGCTAACAACCAAAATTTACTGCAGTCAAGTGCCAAACCTCCATATTCAACTGAGCCCAAACTCACCCCAAGAATACCAGAGGATGAACCATCTCTTCCTCAGATCTTCTCCATATTCACCATTTCTCAAGCAGCTCTAAGCCATGCAGGGCAAGGAGCTGCAGGCACAAAAGTCCCCTTTGATACATGAAAAAAGAGTACTTAATTTTCCCCTGAAATATCTTTTTGTCCAGTTCTTATTCAACAATTCCTGTGTGGTGCCAGGACTTCCAGGCACAACTTCACCTTTCAATTTACTTTGTTTGCATTATTCTCTGACTTTAATAAAGTTCTTGTGAGATCCCCATGGGACTGTGCTAACCCAACACTCAGGACAAAGGGCAGCTCCACCTCATAGTTGCTGGCAGCAAGACTGGACAAAAACATGGTATGGCATAGACACTGCCAGTTTCAACAGATCACGGCTAAACGGTAACACAGATCACTGCTAAAAACCTCCACTGCTAGACATAATCCCTGCACATTTCACAGATGCTAGTGTTTGCAGTGGCAAGGGACTTGGTGACACCACCTCAAAAGCATGAATGTCCATATGACATGGGCTCTGCACACAAAAACCAAGATTTTTTGCAAGTGCTGCAAAGCAGTATCTAATTCTGCCTTAAATGTGTCATCTTTGCCTGAAAGAGTGCCAAAGGACTAATTCAGTCCAAAATAGCCACACTGAAGGGGCTTGATCTAGTTGCCCAAATAAAGATGTCTAGTCCCCTTGCCACAAACCTGTCCTTCAGCTCCCACTGACGTCAGTATTTCAGCTGCAAAGGACACAAATAATTGAGGTTGCAAGTTCTATTAGTCTGACCATATTCCCCTCCGCGTAAATAATCATCTTACCATCCTTCTGGTCTTGGTTTTGAGTGTGTTGTACAAAACACCTAACATGCCTCTGAAATGCATTCACCTACTGCTCGAAGCATTGCAACATTTGGAGCCAGATAAAGGATATTACTAAAATAACACTTTGTACTGTGAGGAAGCCAGGCTTGCCTTTGGATGGGAAAACTAGCCTACAGATTTGAAATGCTCTTGACAGGAAAATGAAAGGTGTTAGTAACATGTACTTCCTTCCACGCCAACTCCAGAGCAGGACCAGGTGATTGGAGAAGACTAAAAGACTTACCTACGTGTCTGTTCTTATGTGGGTTTCTCCTCTCTTTTTTAGAGGAATAGTACAGAAGAGTGAGTCTGAGCAAGACAAAAAGCTTCACTTTGAAATGAGTACACTCTGCAGGTACCTGAAGGGTACTCAAAGGGCCCTACGAAGACCAGCCAGGTCTGGGGAGGCTCCTGTTTAGCCTGTAGCCCAACAGCCACCTCAGCCAAGCTCCAAACTCTACTGTTACTGGAGTCACTGCGGAGGGGAGAAAACAGATTTTCACTTATGTGTGAGATGGATAGTAGATCCTCTCCAACAGGTCCAAGCTGAGTTTGGAGGGCAGGAGTACATCAGAGCTTCACAGACCTGCTCCCGGTGTGCAGCCTGACAGTTCCTACTGCAAGAGTCAACCACGATGCTGCTCAGCAGAGTCACTTGGAGTTCAGTGAACACAAAGCTCTTAAGAGAAGACCTAACACTCAAAGTAACACAAACAGCCTGCTCTTTTAAGAAAAAGAGAGCAGATTCATAACCCCTCACTGGGATGCAGCCGTCAGCAGGTGACACTGACCCAGATAACATTACTGGGAGGTAACCAAAGTGTTTTTTCTTCTTTAAACAACTTCATGGCAAAGCTGCAGACAGAACCTACTAAGCCATTGAAAGCCAGTTCTATCCCGAGTTCTTGCCTGCGGTGACCTTGTGCAAGTCCTGTTGCCTGATCTGCACAATGCATGAATCCCAACCTGCAGTGATGCGTCTGCTGGAACCCCCTTAGTTCATTTCGTCAACATTAGCCCAAAGAGGAAATAAAAAGAAACAAGACCATCAAGAACACTTTCCACCACCTAGGAGCATCCTAGCTGCCCTCAAATTATGACATCTGGGTGTGGAGAATGGATTGTGCATGCCCAGAAATTGTTGGCCAGTGGACAACTGAGAAGTGCAGCTTTGATAAAAGCAAGAGGACAGAGTGGTGTCTCTTCCACTTGCTTCCCAAAGCTGTGCTTCCCTTCTCCTCCCACTGAGTCCCAAGCCCTGTTCAAATGAGAACGTTCCATGCAATGGCATGGGATCCCCACATAACACTCCTGTGACATGGTACTCCCTTGCTCTCCGATGCTGGGACAAGCCAGGAGGTCAGTGGGGCAGGTGGCTTGAGATCAATAGTGTAGAGCAGAGCTAGTTCTTTTTTCACTTCACCTATGATGCCTGTTCCTAACAATTTTAACTCATTGGGATGTTTTTTCATTGAGTGCTCAACATTGAGACTCGTGGGAAGATTTCAACTCCAAAAAGATTAAAAGCAACATGTAAATAATCGTCTGCTCAATATTAATTTCTTGGGTATTTAGGAGGTAAAAAAAAAAAGGCCAATTAACCCAATTTGCAGTATTATGCCTGTCATAAGCATTTTAATTCAGTTCAAGTCAACTTGAGCCAGGAAAAGGATAAAAAGGAATAAGCCCATTAAAAGACCTGTAGCTAGCCAAAGGGAAGGTGTTAGTGGCCTCTAAACAGCCAGTTAATGGCTAGATCTGCTCTGAGACAGTTCTTTTCCATCCTTTTATGAAGTAGAAATCAAAAATAGTTGTAAAAAGCAAAGGGCAACAAGGTCAAAATAAAGAGACTGTGAGTACACACTCATCACTGCAAAGTAATTATTCAAAGCATATGTAAATGAACAAATGAGTTGCCTGACTTCAGCATACCCACACTCAAGAGCTGGACCACACAGGTGAGATCTTGCTGCTTGTTAGGAGAACTCAATCACATTGAAACCTTGCCCAATTCAGCCTATGGATCAGCCCATCTAAACAACCAAAACCAGCACCTTCATCCATTACATTGCCAATGAATTTTGATCTGAGCTTAAAGATTTAAATATTCTTTTCAGCACCAGCCCATCTCCACACTGGCATCCTGCTTGCTGCTTTACAACCATTACCAAAACTGAGTAAATACAGCAGCTTTGTTATCTCTGGGACTGTCCAGAGCCGCTCACAGTACAAACGCTCTAACTGCTGCTGCAGGATTAACCAGGAGGAGCCCTGCAGGAGGCAAATACACTGCCAAGCACTGTAATAGAGCTCAACATCCAGACAGGTTGTGCTACACCCCTCTTTGTGGACCTGGTGGCCAGGTCAGGGACTGCCTCACTGCCTCTAAGACACAACCAGAGAAACAAAATTGTTTCTGTTGTGTTTAACTTAAAGTTAACTAGAAAAACACGACTCAAAGTCAGGGGATCACAACTCCGTAATGGGCTGTGCTCCTTCCCCCAGGTCACCTTCTCTCATGCCAGATGCCTGCATTGTCTAGATATATCTAACTCCTCAGTGCAGAGATTGTCACTCATGACTTGCAAATTTTTACGATGCCCCAGTTCCTGGGGTTCCTAATTCCCTTTCAGAAATTTTACCTGTCATTAGCACAGGGCAGAACTATGGGATGTGATGCACCCCGAGCACCAGGGCAAAAAGTGATACACACAATACAAAAAGGCGACTGATAGTTTGATTCGGGGAGGGAGAGGGAGGAAAAGAGATGCATAACTGGCATCATCACCCTGGATCCACCACCATAAAATAAGCCCCTGCAAGGCAGCACGCTGCAGAGGGGTAACTTCACAGGCCTCAGCTGAGTTCCTGTGATACATGCACTGTAACAGGCAATTCCAGGTCTCCAGTGTACAGCAAGGTTAAAACGTGGTTAAAATGCACTTGAAGTCTAACGTCCAAACTATAGACCTGGAGATGATGGACATGAGCTCCATCTGTTTGTAAACTGGTATTTCTGAGGCACAATTCTTGCATCAAGGTGAGACTACTCAACAGTGTGTCTTTGAGTTCAAAGCAGAAAGGATTCAACCAGCTCCCAGAGAACAGCACTGAAAACCCGCTGCTGCCAGAGTCCTTTTGCCTTGGTGCAGGAACACGGCTGTCCCTGCTCCATCAGGATCCAGTCTCTGGTTAGTTGCCTCCCCGGTCTGTTAATTCTCTTCTCTCCAGGAACCAGGGTGCAAACCCTCAGTATTTCAGTGTCACCACCTCAATGCATTTACATAAGTGCAAGTGAGGGATGGAGGAGGGGGATATTCCTGCAGATGAGAGTACAAGTTTTAGCTCAAGAGAGATATTTTTGACTGCTTCAGTGTTCCTGCTGTCCCCACAGGACGCCCACTCTCTGTCCCTCCTTCCTGATCTAATACCTGACAAAACCTCTGGTTTTCACCCCTCATACAGGGGCTCTCCCCAGATCGGAGGATCTCAACATTGAGATAATAGGAGCACTGGACATTTTTGGTGTTTGCCTTTGCCCTCACCCCACAGCAGAGAATCATGTCTGTCTCTCCCTACTGCTTTCTTGTACTCTAGGACTTGTCTTGACCCTCTAGCACTGACTTTACTGCTTGCAGCTGTAGACCACCTCTTCCTGCATGCACTGTTGGCACTCAACGTAGCAACACCACTGCACTTGACAGTGGCAAGAGAAGGTAACCAGCCGGCTCTGGGTGTTATAGCCTCGTCCACAGCACATGCTGTCACAGTTGCCTTCCCGAGAGCAGGTCCTCCCAGCAGTTCCCAGGGAGTATTTGCTGGGACGACAGAAACTGGGGGAGTCTTCCACGTACACCAGATCAGTAGAGCGGGGCGAAGCAGGGTGCTTGGGGGAATGGCTGTGTCTCTGTGGGCCAGCCAGCTCCGAGTGTCCCACAGCATCATTGGTGGTGCTGAAGACCTTGATGGCATCATCGTAGCGCAGCTTCAGCAGTCGTCCAATCTCATGGAAAGGCGAAAGCTGTTTCCAGCATGTCCGGACAGCACATGAGCCGGAGACACCATGGCACTTGCATGTGGTTTTGAGACCGTTTTTCACAGCCTGATGAGGAAGAGAAGTGGTAGTCATTATCTGCCAGGACCATGAGCCTAGTTCTGGGTAGAGGCAACACCTCAGATTGCAGACAGCCTGGAAGTACTTCAGTTTTATTGGTATTATTCCTATTTTATGGAGGAAAAAGTAAAAGAAAAACAAACAAACAAACAAACAACAGAGAAATGGCTACAGAGTTGACTGGTGAACCAGAGAGTAGAAAGCCTGAATGAGGACAAATGGCTGAGTACTGAGGCCAGTCAAATTCTTACTAAGCCTATTTGGAATAGCAGGAGTAGTCAACCATGAAACGGAGTATCTCCAGCATGGTGGATTCCCTTTGGTATATTCAAATCAAGATAGTGCTCTAATCAAACAAGTAATTGGACTCAGTAAATGGAAAACAATGATAAGTCAGTAGCCTGTAACATACAGGCCAAAATGCTTGATTTAATGGTCTCCCTGACCCAAACTTGTGACATGACTAGTTCCATAGCAAATCGCCAGCAGACTCATAATTGATCTCAAGTGTGTCAACCCTTAATCTACTTCACACGTCCCACCAGCTCTGAAGCTCTAGCTGTTCTCAAAACTCCCTGTGGCTGTGGCATAACCCACGGGGTAATTCAGCCATTGAGTTTTACAGCTGTCACTCAGCCCCTGATGCCACTAGAGGATACAGGATGCCACTATGACACTCAACATGCAACTCCTCACACCAGAGTTCAGGAGACTTTCCAGGGAGCTCTCAGTACCATAAGGTCCACGACACAGTGGTAAACAAGTCTGGTTTGTGAGTAGGGGCAGTGAATATCCTTCTCACAAACAGCCTTGGCTGAGGATGGGTTAGAAGACTTGCATTGAGTCCTAACTTCTTTCTAGGCCTGCTGCTGCAGCTCCTCACCTTGATGCCAACATTGGTGTTGTGGATGTCCACCTTGGCCCGCAGGTCTTTGCCAATCCTCTTCTGACCCAAGAATTTTTTCAGGAACTTGGTGCTGTATTTGAGGTTGTCTCCACAAACGCCCCATTGCCAGGCCTTGCGGTTCTCCAGGTCTGGGGAGTCATCGCAGGTGCAGCGCTCCATGCGCCCAGCACTACACGCTCTGGCCAGGGAGTGGGTGAGAGCTGCGGAGGACACTGCATAGAGGAAGGCAGTTTCCTTAAAACCTGCACAGGAGAAGGATTAGGAGAAGGTAGGAGCAGGAAAGGCAAAATAAGGTGTTTATCCACCTCACTGGCTCTCCTGACTGTCCATGAACTAAAACCAAGCACAATACTTAGAAATACAAAGAGACAAAACTCTTCCATAACCTGCACACCATTCCTAGCAGAGAATCTCAATACCATGTTTGAAGTAACTGGTGTAGTAACACACCAGTCTCACCTGGTTGCTGTGACTGATTCAACATGGAGCCAGGAGACCACTCATGAATAACGGGATGGGTGGCAATAGCCAAACAGCCCTGGGAAAATAACTGCAAAAAGCGACAGTCATGAAACTCCATTTGTCCTCACCCCCACCACAGAGCTGATCGGTGTGAATAGAGACTGTCACTGAAATCATGTTGCGGCTTAAAATCAGGAAATATTGAGTAGAGACTGAAAAAACATTTTAAAAATCTGACCCGTTATTTTAAAATGTTTTTACCTGGGACTGTGCTGCCACAGTATGGTAGTATTTCATATGGAAAGATCACAAGTAGTTTGGTTGGGAAAGGTTCTATGTTGAAGGACATCTTGGGCAAGAAGGATGAACTCTCCTGCACATGAGTGGATTTTCTGACTTCCCTGTAAATTCCCAGTGACTGCGGTGATGCTTTCTGAAGCTATTCTCCTTTCTAAAGCAGGCTTCCCAGCTTGGCTGCATTTGCCCTGAGGTATGTAACCATGACACACCATGACATTTTAACCAGGAAAGAAAGTACAGTGCCTGAATAGAAATTCAGTCTGAAGACATGGAATCAGATAGGAATGGGCATGTTGATATGGCACCCATGAGCTCCACAGAAGTTCCAGAAAACACTGATTGACACAAATCTGACCTAAACCCCAAAATATTTTGGTTTGATTTTTTCTTTCCTCTCCTATTTAATCCAGGGGAAAATCTTAACATTTCCTCCAGAGTTTATTTGCAGAAATTAAAACTATTAATAGGAAATTGCTTAACAAGTCCACAATTTAGGAAGTAGAGCAAGGAAGAGAAAGACAGATGAGTGATCAATAGCTCAGCGTGCAGGGATGGATAAGATTCGCCAAAATAGAAACATTTTGGTTTATGAAAAATAGAACACTTTCACATTGCATGGAAGGAAACACATTGAAGCAAACAAATATTCCGCATTGGAAAATGCCAAATTTCCTTCCACATCAGAAGGAAACAAATCTGTTTCCCCCAAAAATGGAAGAGAGAGGGAGAACCACAGAGACCTGACCTCGTCTTGCAATTAGCCCTGCTTTGAGCAGAGGTTGGAAGGGACCTCTAGAGTTCATCCAGTTCAACCTCAAATCTTTCCATCATTTTGTTCCCTCAAAGAATTCCCAGATCAGACCACTGACAGCTGAGATCTGGGTGAAGTCACCATAAATCTGACCAGAGAACAAGACAAAGAGTTCTTCTGATAGCTATCAGTGAGAAGAATGAAAAATGGACTAATCATGAACATAATGGAGAGGCTGCATTAGCAACTTCAATATAGACTTCATAGGAGCTCGTTGGAATTCCAGAATTTTAGATGAAACATCTAGCAACAGTATGGATGTGGATGAGAGAGTCAAGAAAATGCGGAGGAGATCAAGGAGGTCAATCAACAAACTGCTTCCTACTTCACCATTTTAGTTGCTGTATCACTGGGACAAGTAACTTGCAGCTAAGCTCTCTGGTTGATGATGCTCTATAAAATCTCTCAGGGTACTAGAATAATAATGAAAAAATGTCACCAAATCCATCAAAAGTTTTGGAAAAGCTGATATGGGACACAGTCAATACAGATTACGGATAGCAAGATGATGCTCACACGTTTTCAAACAGTGGCTAACCCAAAAGAAGGATATAAGAGATGATAAGGTACATTTGAGATCCTAAAACTGAAAAATTATTCCGGTAGCTAATCTCCAATTGCTTACCAGATTCCCAATATCCTATCTGACATACTGATACCAGAAGAGAGGATAGCATTTTAGAAACACTTTCCCATACCATATAAAGCTAGCAGTACCAGTCAGCTCCACATACCCTGCTAAATCTGACTTTGTGGAATACCACACTGCTTCTGCTATTTCTGAACAGTGATGGTTTGGTTTCTTCTGTGGCACTCCACGTAAGTGCTGGCCAGATTTCAACCCACTTGAAATCAGAGACCATTGCTTGTGGTCAGGCCACTGCAGACAGCAGTAACTGACGATAACGAGCATACTTTCAAATCGTCTCCTTCTTCTTCCCCCCCCACCTCCTTTTATGGCAAAGGTTCAATGTCACCAGGCTGCCAAATGCTTGTCTGAAAAGTCTAATATGATTCCTTCTACTTATTGTTATAAGGGACTGATCACTGCTTAATTGTTTAATTCACAAATCACGAGTAAAGGAAAAACTGAATGGTCCTTAAGTCCTTGTGGAATAACAATGAGTAGCAGAGCAGCTGTAGAAGCTGGATTTTCAGTAGGACATAGCACAAATGAGCAGGGATCAGCTCCAACAAACATGATTTGAGAAGATCTAAGTGGAGGTTTCTCCATGTGTCCTGGGTATCTATCCTCCCACTATGTCAATGGAGCTCTTGTCACCACAGCCAGTGGAGCCTGGACCCGATGCCCAGGCTGTCAGGGTCTGGTTTAGGGATGAGTCAATCTCCTGACCACATTGAGTTGCCAGTGACTATAATGAAATCTTAAACACTCAATGCAAGGGGGAACATCTAAATGCAGATGTCTTTGCTTGTCAGTTTGGTTGCAAACATCCAGCAGAGAGTTGAATTCCAAGATGTTGAAGCAAGCCAGCTCCCCCTGGTAGGACCTTGCACATGTCCAAGTCTTCCCCTGAGCTCTCTGGAATTATTTCTTAGCTCAGCAGCCAATAAATACAGAAGGAAGTTTGCTGCAATGGCAAGACACTGTTCCGTGGTGTAGTGTGCTCTAGACCACAAGTAAAACTATAATAGGAAGAGTTTAGCCATCTGGTGATTCTGCCAAAGGCAAGATGCTCAAGGTCAGAGATTTTTCAATGCTACAATAAAGATAGTGTGAGCATTTCAGAGCAAGTGGAAGAGACATTTCTCTGGGGGGTGGGGGAACAAACAAAAAACAAACAAACAAAAAAAAATCCAAAAAAACAAACAAACAAAAAAACAGAGCAGACCAGAAAGCTATAGAATTGTAGAAAGATTTAGGATGGAAGGTCTTCTCAAGGTCTTTAGTACAACCTCCTGCTCAAAGCAGCTAACTCCAATGCCAGATAAAGTTGCTCAGGGCTTTGTCCAACTGAGTTCTCAAGATCTCCAGTGATGGAAATTATACGTCTCTGAGCCACCACTACTGTGCTGTACCATTCCTAGATCCCTCGTGACATCAATGAAACCATGGCTTAAAGGTCAAAGAATCTGACCAGCATGAAGCAAAGAAATGGATTGATGGAGGGAAGGATTGTAGAGTGCTCGTTTCTCAAGAAGGATTTTTCTGAGTGGCTGGATCTGAGTTGTCTTTGCTATAGGTATTTCTTTTCCCCAAAACACCATGTTGTTTGAGATTAAATACTGCTTACCTGACCGCCAGCAGCAATTGACTGCCTTTAGGGCAAACCTTAGAAACAAAAAGATCATCATTGCTTTACAAACTTTATATAAAGACACCAACTGCCACCGTGCAACAAGATGGCTTGAAATGTCTGTCCAGAATAATTTTAAATCTACCTATTTTCATGGATTTTTAAAGAAGTGGAGAAGGAATGCAGAAGGATTTTGCATAGATCAGTGAAGAGTAATAGCCATCATAATCGACTGCAATAGTCATAGAGGGATTGTAGGTTATGCAAAAGGAGTTTCCCAGTTGTATCCAGAGGAGTGTCAATGTAAAACAACAAATGGTGCAGACTGTGAAAATAAATCTGGCATTTCAAAAACCAGAAAGCCCTTGGCATTCTTTTTACTTACTAAAAGTATGTGAATACAGGAAAAAAGATGTTGGCGTCTGTAGAAGCAAGAAACGCATAGGTGATCCCAATCAGCCACAGAAGATTTTCAGTTGTCACTGCAAATTAAGTGTGCCTTTTCACCTATTACAAAAATGAACCATCTCACCACGACATGATATTTTTTCCCCTCTTGCACTCATAAGACCATTAAAGACAGTTAAAAAGCGTGTGTTTTTCTTTACGGTTTCTCTAGGACCATGGCAATATCAAATGATTTAATAATTTCTAAAACTCTTCATCACTACTTGGGTGAAAGGAGCATAGTCCATTGTCTGGCCAACAATTTCCAAGGCAGCAACAAAACAGCAGTAGGAATATGTGAGAAACAGATCAAAGCTGGCAGCTGAGAGCGTTCATGTTTTTTGTGAAAGAAACTAACCTATTTGCAAGTTAAAGGAAAATGAGAACTAATAACTGCTTCCAGCCAACTGTCCTTTCATATAGGAGATGTATATAGCATACTTTTCTGTATTAAATCATCATTTGATCCTTAAGATTGTGTAATAAAAGTTTTCAAACACTTATCCTCATCTGCCAAAACAGGTTTTAAATTACAGGTGATATTTTATTTTGTCAGTCAGGAGTCCATGGAAATGTTGAGGCATGCCACCACGAGATAATTAAATGTTTTCCAGCTATTTGAAGATGAGGATTATTCAATTGTCATTTTCAAGTTTTTTGAGGTTGATGAAGGTACAGATGTCAGAAAGTCACTCAAAATGAACAGCTTCTTGCAGAGTGTGCTAAAAAATCCACAATAGAGCCTTGCAATGAAGTAAATCTGATCTTGTATGTGCTGGTTTACTAAAATATTAACTTAATACTTACTTTAATAAAAATTGATAATTTTAAATGGTAATGTTAAAAAGTTTCAATCCCAATGCTAATTAAAATTAACATTTTAATTTTATCAAAGTTAATATTGGCTTATTCAGCCCCTTTTTTTTAAGACATTAACTTACTAAACATTATCAAAGGACTGAAACTCAGTAATACTGAAGACTGGAACTCAGTAAATGCTACTAAACGTTACTGAAGGGCTGAAACTCAGTAACAGGCTGGTCAGGTGTGTTTGGATGAGGACAGGTT